TCAAAACTCCCGTTTGATAAATCGAATTAAAAAGTCTATCTGTCTATCCGTCTATCTGTCTATCTGTCTATCTGTCTATCTGTCTATCTGTCTATCTGTCTATAGATTTGATGAATGATATTTTGTTTTCACACCTCTAAGTTATAATGTCTTGCTGTTTAAAAATGACTTGGAATACTAACACGGAAACCAGCCAGCTTTATAGTTAGCTAGACAAACACGTTCCAAATATTTTAATATCAAAATTCAGACATAGCTCAAGCTTCAGAAACTGTGTTTTGCACATTATCTCATTCTAGTATCCTTCACAATTTGACTATGTTCTTAAGCTTTGAAATGTGAAAAAATGTATACTGGAGAATTCATACTGGTGAATGTATAATTGAGAATGTATACTGGTGAATGTATAATGGAGAATGTATACTGTTGAATGTATACTGGTGAATGTATACTGGAGAATTTATACTGGTGAATGTATAATGGAGAATTTATAATAGTGAATGTATAACGGAGAATGTATACTGATTAATGTATAATAGAGAATTCATAATAGTGAATGTATAATGGAAAACGTATATATACTGGTGAATGTATAATGGAGAATGTTTACTGGTGAATGTATAATGGAGAATGTATATTGGTGACTGTATTATAGAGAATGTATACTGGTGAAGTTATAATGGAGAATGTAAACTGGAAAATGTATACAAGAGAATGTATATCGGAGAATGTATTCTGGAGAATATATACTGGATAATTTAAACTGGAGAATACATACTGTATAATGTATATCGACGAATGTATACTGGAGAATGTATACTGGAGAATGTTTACTGGAGATATTCTGGAGAATGTATACTTTATATATATATAAATATATGTAAATTAGAGTAAATATAAAATATATTAAATCTAGGTTTATTGTTGAATTTATCTCTCAGTATATATATATATATATATAATATATATAAAGTAGTTTACCCATAAACCTAAACTGCATGACATAGAGAAAATTAATATGCTCTTCTAGAAATTGAATCTAGGTTTTTACACACAAACAGAAACTCAATAACTCCCATATTTTCAACACTTTTTGGTTTAAATGATTAGAGGCTTGAAAATGAATTTCATTCATAAATGACATGTAAAATTTACAAGAAATGCATTTTGAAATTTGTTTTTTAAATATTATATAATTCTTGAAAGCTTCAAATAATAAAAAAAAATCTTGATGTTTTTGCAATGCTGCACAATGCACATAATTGCTGCGCGATTTCAGAAAACTTTTGAACTGATAGAATTACTAAAGAAATTGATCGTAAATTTTTAATCATAATCTCAGTACATGTAGACGTTGTATAGAAGGGATTAGGGGGGTAACATATAATTTCTTGTTTTAATCATAGTAATTACAGACAGTCTGAAAACTGTTAAAATATACAAAGGTTAATTTTCAGCTTGAACTAGACTATAACGCCCCCCCCCC